CCCCCCCTTCATATCCCCCTCCCCCTCCGCATAAGACAGTTAATTAGAAATGAATTCATTCTGCACTTACGATTTGTCAGAGCATGATTATTGACAGTTCAGGCATATATTCTAATGTGTTCACAGTTTTCTTACTTTGGCTTACTTACTTTTTTTTAAAAAATGGCTGGACTATGGGCTTGGGCTTGGGCTTAGGCTATAAGATGGGCTTCCTATGGTGTTACTCAATGACTTACAGCAGGGGCGGCAGAAGCTAAAAATCTTCGGGGGGGCACTGCAAAAATATTTGGGGAAAATTGAAAATTATATTTAACGCTATGTGATAATGACAATGTTTTGTTTGATTGCAGACGCATGCGCARTAAAACAATGACTAACAACTAAAAATTTTGTGCGGGGCACATGCCCCCCTGGGCCCCCCGGTTCTGCCRCCCCTGTACAGCCCAATGACATAGTAGCTTGGCCTCTATGAGGCAGTAGCCACAAAAACCCAAAGAATTATCAATGCTGATTGCTTTGTTTCTTTACAGCTGGCACATCAGCATAATGTTCAATGTATTGAAGTCAGTGCAAAGACTGGAGAAAGAATACAAGAGGTAATTTGTAGTTAACACAGTGATGTCTGTGCAGAATTGTAAACCATTAGTAATATGTAATGATATATGCTTTATTTAAAAAATCTACTTATGCAGCCAAAGGCTCAATTGCGTAAATACAAAAAAAATTACAAATAACTATACTATGAATTACTTAATATATGGTAAATAATATCTATACTTAATAAAATTAATTAAATTTATCGTAGTTTAGTGCGCCTGCGATCATGAAGCTGTTCATCACGTGCCTATCCCATAATCCAGCTTGGGCTTCCTGTGGATAGATGACAGAACAATGAAATCCCTTTGCTCTCGGGAATTGAATTCTTTCTCATGTAAAACGATTGTATTGTTGCTGCCATCTAACATGGCTGCCGTCACGTGGTGGTGCAAGGGGAGAGTAAAACGTCTTTGCTTACGTAGAGCAACACTACATTCATTTATATGAAATGGCAATAAACGGTGCAAGTTATTGGAATTATTTAAGACAATTTTGTCAAATAAAGAAGGTCTTACAGTGGCGTTCCCTACACTGAAATAGTCTCTAGCCCAGAGAGGCTTAAGGCCTCGCCATAGTAGGGCAGTTCGTAACCATAGATTATCCTCAGAGCTCTTTTTTGTAATTATAATATTGATTTGACGTTATTTATGTTTATTTTTTATTTATTGTTCATTTGTAATTCTTAAATTCACCGACACGAGTGAAAAACGTCTGCGCTACTCTGCATGAATCCGTATGCAGCGCGCTGGTTCTAAAAATAGCTTAAAGATTCGGACAAACATTGCATTCTGTTTAACCGCTACGAGGATTGCACGAACCGATTTTATTATTTTTACTTAAAGTTACAATAAAAACCCATGTAAACTAAGATCAACTGCGATCGGCTGTGAAAATTATTTGCTGAAAGTAAACTTGTAAGTTTGTTTGTCCGAATTTCGCCTTTGTCTTCGGTTTTGTGACGTCACGGCTGCGCTGCGCTATTAGTCAAAACATACAGTATGTAAATTTGACTTTCAAACATGCCTGATAAATTGGACTTCACAAAATGCCAACACTTAGTGTCCATGCTTGAAACTTAAGACTAATTCTTTCATATTGTGTTTGTTAAGAAAGTATCTTGGTCTGACAAAAGTATACTCTCGAACTTTTTTGAATACTTGAAGAAAACAAACATTTATTTTCTTACTCACACTCTTCAAAGTTCTTAGAAAACGTGTTGAAGTGCACGCATGCGCAAACGTTTTTCTCTGGTGTCAAATTTACCTAGTTCYCCAGTGAATAAATCCCAATCTTTCATTTTATCATTTTTTCTTTTCACATTACTTTTTTTCATTCTTAGTAGTACAATCATGAAAAATATTGCATTTTAATTTTACTCTTGCAGCTATTTGACCTGCTGGCAAGTGCACTTGCAGAGAGAGCAACGAGACAAGAGGTACCAAGACTTAAAAATAACCCCTGGAATAGTGCGTTCTGACAGAAATACGTTGTTCGGTCCCCCGGRGGGGGGGGGGGGTACTGTTGCCCGTTTAGGGTAGGGATGTGCCGCTGAGACCTCTGAACCCTGACCCTGTTCCAGAGTAAAATCGCTGAAATTCATACCCTTTTCCAGAGCAAGATCGCTGAAAATCATAAGCTGTTCCGGTATTGCGAAAATGAATACCCTGTTCCAGAGAGGAGAGAGCGTGATTTCATATACCCTGTTCCAGAATAGAATCGCTGAAAACTATACCCTGTTTGGCGGCGCGTACCCGTATAGCGAATATAGGGGAGTACCCCCCCCCCCCCCCCCCCCCAGGTTCAGTCCTGCTCAATACGTTGAGCATGTTGGAGGTCGTTATCAGCATTGGAATTCACCTTTTCGCCGCTAGCCGTCACGTGTTACAAATTGTGTTGGATTGTGTTACGGTCACCAAGAAGTTCGGACATTGTTCTGGGATTTCCGTACAAATGTACTGACTTTAAATGAACTATTTACTTGGTTCGTTTAGTTAGTTCTCTAAATACAAGTAAAATATAATTTTTCTAGCTTGATTGAAGCTTTTCTTATTGCTGTTAAGAGAGCTAACTAAAGAAATCTATCTAAATTTTCTCTTTAAACTCAGTATTTGTATGGGAATCCAAGAACGATGTCCGAACTTTTTGGTGACCGTAACACAAWCCAACAAAGTGTTTACGACGTGACGGCTATCGCCGAAAAGGTGAATTAAGCACGTTGGGTTTTGCAGGGGTGGGGTGGGGGACCAGAGAACTCAGAGTGTGAGATGAGACTAATTCTTGCACGAATTCTTTGTTGCAGGAAGCCCCTCGAGCAGGGGAAGACGAGGAGGTATCAGAACCCGACGATGGCGGGTTTTTAAGCAGCTGCGTACTCTTGTAATTATTTGCATTGTAATTATTCATTCTTACAGATCTGAAATAATTTAAGCCATTCATGAATCGTTCAAGTTTTTTGTTATACATTGGTGCCTCTGCTTTGGAGATTTTCTAGGTGAATAATGTATTGTAAAGTGGCTTGGAACGTTTATTCGTAATAGCAGCTCGTTGCTCGACGCGATAAATAGAACGACGAATAATATATGAATATATGCACAAGCCACTTAGAGTATTTATTTTTATTGGCTAGTTGGATGGCAGCTACTTGAATTTCATTTAAATACAGAGCCGAAGAATCAGTGGTTCGCATAACCTTGAGCCCGGGGCCCTGAGATATTTATGATCAGATCTGATAACAAACGAACCTTTTCACGTCAATATGACGTATTTCCTGAACATGGGAAAAGTACTTCGTGGCCTCAAAGTCTCCTCAAGTGTTAGAATTTTTGTCCTCAAAACTCTCAATTAAGCAATGGTCAATGCTTAGCGTGCGTAAATATATTTATGGTGCACACGGATTGCTGGGAGACCACCCCGGCGGGACTCTCTTGAAAAAAGAGGGGGGGGGGGGGCTCGACGGATCTTTTAGGGTCGAAAGTGAGACCTCGCGTACCTTTTAGGGTCTCCGGCTGACTCCCGGCTGACTCCCGGCTGACTTCGTACCTTTTGAGGTCAGATTTGTTCGTTTTGAAAAATATCAAACGCCATACAAGAATATAATGGTTGGAAACGTTGTCATTTTAAATATGGTCGTCGTACCTTTTAGTGTCTGAAATCAGCACTCAGTAAATTTATGCGTACCTTTTAGGGTCATTTTTAAAACCGTCCTACCCACTTTTCAAGAGAGACTTCCCCCTCGGGGAGAGCACGATGGTAGCGTAAGAGTTGCTACCTACCAGAGTGCTCTCCCAACTATCCAAGTGCACCATGCTAGAGCAATGTAATAAGTGGATGATAAACAAAATGATTGACATTTCCATTAAGCAGCATTGATTACATAAGGGCTAGAGATCACTTTTCAATAGTAGATTGTGAAACATGTTGCTATCCTGTACGCTACCCTGTCCGTAGTCTCCCTCGCATCCGTTTTTAGTGTGAGAGACAGCTCAAGAGGGTTAAACAAGGTACTCTTGCACCCAGGACTAATTAACAAATAGATATAAGTATGCGAAGCGTGGAGATTGCATAGACCAATCAAGCTAGCTCTATTAATAAAAGATGATTTTTTTTTTTTWATTTTTTTTTTTTAAAGTAAGGAATAGAGGATATTACTTGGGTGCGCGGAGATACGCGTATCTCCAAGCGGCCATGTAATGTTCTGTTTATTATATAGATATCGATGAAACTTAAATAAAACAAAAGCCCAAAAAATAAAATAGCAAGCCGATTCAACAGCGATATCTTCACGTGTGAAAGAT